GTTACTATGGCTTAATTCAACTGTACTAACAATGTTTACCTTTAACATTGCATCTAAATAGAAAGCATTTAGCTCTGGACATCAAAAATGCATAAGAATAAATAGTAGGGTTTATTTCATGTGCTGCTAAATTCCTAGTCCTCTTTCTCATTTCATCAATAATGTAAACTGTCTATATTATTACACGTTTTTTCTTAACAATCATTGTGTCTTATATTAATTTGTGTTAACCTTTTGTAGATCTGTAAAAGTTCATTACAAATTCAGTTACATGGAATACTGCTTTCTTCCATAGTATAACTAATTTTAATTTTCATTTATATATTTTTTTATTTTTATTAATACTTAATTAAACTTTTATGTGTTTACTAGATTTTAAAATTTAGTTTAATTAAAGGAATTCCAAGTATTTTATTATAAAAGAAATTATTTGCAATAGATTTGTTTTAGTGTTTATATTATTCTTTCGATACTATGTATTTATAAAATTAAACATCTTGAAACAATTAATAGTGAGAATCTGTAACTATTCAATAGAGTAATAGGTTTGATGAAAATGAGGAATTGAAGTTATCTATTATAATGCTTGGTTACAAAATTTGGTTTAAATCAAATTTCAGTAGATGGGAGATTCAATAATCGTTAAAGAGAGAGTTACGGTTCTGTACTTGATTCTCTGCCATATTTTAAAAGTCCAGATAAAAAGTAATTAATATCTCTTCCTTTATAAAAATATTGCAATAAAGTTGTGAAGTGTATACTAAAAATAAACTATCCATCAAGGCAGTTCATTCTCTGCATTTTAATTATACCTATTTATTGCCATTGTTGATACTTCGATTTCATGTTAATTCATACCTTCCTCTTCTATAATTTTCTCCTTGTGCCTTTCAACGTTGAGTTAAGATACCTGACACAGGATCTCCATCTAGCCCTATCTCTTGCAAGAGTCTTTATTTCCTGCAGTCTTTCCTCTCTCTTGTCTCAACTTGGAAATATAGCTTTTATAGCTAAGTCTTGGCCTTCCTCTTGGTCTAATGCCTACTGCTCTCACCTCCATGAACTTGAGTGGGTCACAACCAGGGCTCATTCTGCATAAATGTCCATATCATCCCATCGGTCTCTTCTCTAGGGTCTCCTCCATTGCAGTAATATTTAATTCTTCCCTTAGAGTTTCATTCCTGATACTATCGCTACTTCATTCCTGATACTAAGATACGTCTTCATTGACCTCTCTCTTTAGTACGATTGTGTTGCTAATGGAATAGTATATAAAATATATTAGCTCTTTCTATCCTGTTGGATATTTCTAGTTGGACTTTTCTTTTCCATTTCCTCTGATCACAGTTCCAGGTTAAGAGAACTCACCTACGACTTAACGATCCTCGTCTCTGCACGTTTTGTGGATTTGTTCTGGCTCTCTTGTCTTGTAGGACTTATCTTTTTCTGGTGTTAATATGTCCAGTTCTGCTTCTCACTCTATTAGGACTTTTTGGAGGTTATTTGTAGTCAGGGATGAGGGCTTTTTCATCAGCATACCCCAGTACTTGTGCTAGTATAGTTCTCATGTTGCGATAGCCAATAATTGTTCTTACTGTTCTTTTCTTACAAATCTTTATTATTTCGTCCATAAAGATGATGGACAGTAGAAAACTGAGGCTATCCCCCTGCTTTACTCCTTATTCCATTGGTAAACTCTTAGATTCCAGACCATTAATCCTCACAATACCTTTAGGAGCCTGTATTGCGAATAATAAACCATTCAGCATGTTCTTTGCTCTCTGAGATTTCCATATTTCTTCTCTTGGTACTGAATCAAACCCAGCTTTAATATACAGAATTGTATGGTATAAGCTTTTATTTCGATCCCAAACTTTTATGATTAACATTCTTAAAGTGAAGATATGGTCTTGGGTTTGGCCTCTGCGACAGAAAGCTGCTTGTTCATTTTTCCATATTTTCCTCAATTAATAGTCTTAGCTTCTTTTCTAAAATCGAGGTATATATTTTATATACGACCTTGGAGAGACATTTTTCTGTAGTTACTACACTCGCTTGTACTTTCCTTCTTTTTGATGGGTAGGAATTTTCTTTTCCTCATAAATTTTCTGAGAAAGATTCTGTAGGAACTTATTATCTCCATTCCAGCGTATTAAATGAATTTTAGAGTGATGTTCCTTGAATCGATTTCTAATTCATTAATTAACCTAGTCTTTAGCACTAATCCTTAATTGTAATATAGGTCTTATGAAGAATTAAAATATAAAAAGTGTAATTAATGTTTTGTCCTTATCATTAAAAGTGATTTAAGTTTACCTGCGCTAATTGATTTTATCTTTTTTTTGAAATTATACTTCAACCTCCATGGATACCTCATGTGGCAGTTTTTAAAATTTAGCAGAATAATCTATGCAAATAATTACTATTCTTTATGTTATTCTAGCTTGTGAGTGTTACTGATTTACTGATTGTGAGTTAACAATTTTCCCATTTGAACTTATGAGTGTGGTATTGGGTGATGTGTGTGTTGAATGATGAGTATGGGAAATAATATTTATTTTATTAATTGTTTTTTATTCTTAGTGAATACTTATTTTCTGTAGATTATATGTCATTTTATTACTTCAAGATAAATATGCTTTGATCTTGTTGCCAGGAATCCTGATTTGGCTCATGAAGGTTGCGTTATTATTTTTTTGTTAAGCAGTTCCTCGCTACGGAAGCCAAACAAAAATACAAGTCCAGGAATAATTATTATTTTAATTTAAATATTAAAGAGGTGGAATATTGATTTGTTACTTTCAAAAGAAAGAATAATATATTAATTGTACCTGATACTTGATAAAAATTAAATTAGAGCTGGACCCTGGATACTTCTTGACTACACAGAAGTAGAATTTGGATGCATGCTTATGTATTCATTTATTTATCATTCATTTTAAAATCAGTTATATATTTAACCAAGACGACAGCATAATGATGAGTACAGAATGATTGAAATTTCCTGAAGATTTGGATTTCGAGGCGATGCACCAGAGAAAAACTCTTTACCTTGCTCATCAAATTTAATTTTAGAAAATAATTCTACATTATTATTCTTTTTATTTCATATTTTTCTTTTGTAATTCAAAGATATGATTATTTGAGATTGTGGTAAGACCGTAGGTATTTTTAATGATTTTATTTAATTTTTTCTGTTTTGATCCGCAGCCTCTAATTATATATAGTTATGTTTATTTAATATTATTATTATTATTATTTTTAAATTATACTTAAGATCATTCTAGGTTAGTTTTGTTGTTGCTAAATCTTAATTTTAACATCAGACTACAATAGTTTATCTATTGATATGATGTTTCTTCTGTTTAAGTCATTTTTTTATTTACTTTAAGCTGTCACTTGGTATTTATATATTATTATACATTGTTCTTGAAAAGGTTATTCACATTAATTTAATCTTCTTAGATTATTTATATGCTTTATTCTGTAATCTTCCTATGAGTAAAAATGATTTATCAATCGTACAATTTATTTTACAATATTGATATTTTTATTTGTCTTTTAATCATTTTGTTTGTTAATGTTTTGTTTAAAATAAATATACTTGTCTCTCTAAGCCATGACAAATTAGTTTTGTATTTTTCATATTGCTGTAATGTTAATGACTTTTTTTGTTCATATCCTATTTTTATTTGAGGAAATAGAAATAATTAATTGTTCAGTTCATCATTTCAAAAATTTCAACTCGTAAGGATTTGTGCTTCATGCCAGCATTAATTATCAGAAAATCTTATATTTAATAATGATTAAAATATATTTGACCATTTTTTTACTTTGCTCTTTTTTTATTTCACTCTTACTATTTAAACCTTTTTTGAAAACATTAACTGACCATTTATTACTTCTGATTAAATACTGGAACTACTTTTAAAGTTTTTCTTTTCTCTTAACTTTTTTTTTTTTCACCCTACCTAGCCATGTTTGCCATACAGGTTTTTCAGTAGCAGTGGTATTGCACATCGGGTCTGCGCATGTCACTCCCGCCAATATAACTCTCTTTATTTGATTGCATACTTAAATATAGATATATTAAAACAGAGAATCTTTTCTCTTAACCATCCTATTACCATTAAATTGCTCATTTGCCCTTAGGAATTTTTATCAGTTCTTACCTGTACCTTAAATCTGCCCCTCTCCCTCTTCTCGTAGGACTCAGTTAGATCTGATTTTCTTAAAATCTGGTTATTATTTAATCCCATTTGCTTTTTTTCCATCCAGGTTTCATACAGAAATTGGTAGAATCATTGTTTGTTTTATGTATTCTTAACAAAATAACGATTTTTTAAGTTGTTAGAACTAATTTTGTATTTTTGCTTATCAGTTTGGAAATCACTAGCATTTAATTATTTTAATCTTGATTAATTATAATTGTGTTTTACTCAACACATTGAAAGAAAAATAGGTGCTGTAATAAGTAATATAGAAATTTCGATGTTTCAAAAACCTAAATATTCATTTAAATATTTAACTGAATATGTTACTTTAAAGTTTTGTTTAATAGTTTTATTATTTGTTATTACAACGTGCCAAATGAATTTACTGTAAGTTTTTTACTTGTGTATTTAGCTACAATGAAAATTATTATTACATTTTAATAATTATAGTCAATTCAAAATTCATTAATATTCACTGCATTCGAGGTAGGTTTCTGATGAAGTCAGCTCGTTCCTGTTATTGTACATGATAAAATAGTCAATTAATTTACTATTGTATTTCCTGACATTTTTTTTTGTTTTCAATTTTTTATATTTGTTAATGGAATAATGTTTGTGATATTTAGAAAAGGATTATTGTTTTTCTCGATTTAATAAAGAGGCTGCGGAAAACATTTTTATTTTATTCGTGATTTTGACTGGAAGGTATGATAATGCTAATTACTATAGAAAGAAGATTTTAATTGGTCTTGGATGGTTTGGTTGAATTTGCTTGTCTGGGTGTAGGGAGGAGAAACGGTACCGGTATGTGAAGTCTTCTACTGGTGAGGTAAGCTGGGAATTCCCTACGGCTGCTGGCGGAGGTGAAGAAGAAATGGACCTTTCAACGACACCACCTCCTTTACCCGTTACGCCTCCCCCACCGCAGATTTCAGTTCCGAGCCCTCCGTCTCCTCCTGATATTTCTACTCCAGATGTTACGCCTCCATCAGGTAGTATTTCTTTGTTTTTATAATATATTCTCTTTATTTATTAGTTTTTTTAAAACGCAGGCACTTGAGCTGACATATAAACGTTTAACATATAAGTTGGGAAAATGATAATTTAACTAAAGTCAGAAATGGTTTAAGCTAGAGTGGAACAGCTGCAGATGATTAGGTTTTGTATGGATAAAAAGCCATAACTATCATATGAGGGTATTTTTTAATAAGTTATTATGTCAATCTTGAAGGAAAAATATACATTTTATAATGGATAGTAGTGGTGGTATTTCATCAGAATTTCCACATTCTTTATTTATTTTTGGAAATTTTGAGGATCTTCTGTATGACTGCATAATGTATACATCATGTTTATGTGTTTCTCTATTCTGGGGAAATCACTTCGGATGCAGGTTCTCGATCGTGGAGTTGGTAGCTATGTGAAAATTCGCAGTGACCAATTCTGAAGTGGCACAGGATTATTTCTTCTCTTCTTGATTTTGTACTACTTGTACACTGTTTAGCACTGTTTTGTTTTGTCTGAACTAGTTTGAAGGGGTTCGTTCTCCATGTCTCATTCTATTGATCTATTATCTGGGATTTCGCTTGCCTCGCCCAGTCCTCTATAGGATCATAATCAATGGATTTTATCTCATTATTATCAGTCATTGGAAGTAAGTCGTTCCTCCAAATAAAGGAATTGGCAACCATAGTTATTTGGATGAAGGCTGTTACCAAATTTATTGAAGAGTTTAAGAAAGATGGCCTCATTTCGGTGGCCATTCTGAGGGCCAAGGGGAGAAGGACAGGATATGAAACGAGGTGATACTATGAACCATGAGAAAGGAGAGGATGCGAAGGGGTCGGGAAAGAGTGCATCAGGGACAACATTTGTGCCCTCCCCCATGCCCCTCAGAAATAAGAATATTGGAAATCCCAAGGAGAGAGGAACTTCATCACATCTGACGATGATTCCGAAGGAAGAAGGGTCGGGAATGAACGTTAAGTTGCAGAGAAAGGAATTAGTAGATGTGTAGAGAGTAAGAGGGTTTGGCTTATGGCCCAACAGGGTTTGGACTAAATTATTTATTCTGTTTCATCAACTTTGAGGTCGGGAGATCCTCCTTGGGCACACCCAGCCTATAGATAGTGGGTACTCTTAATTAAAAAATTAATTAACGGGAAAACCTGGCAGTTGAGCGTGATCTCGATCAAATCTCCTCCTAGCACAACCATTGACCAAGAGTACAGTACTTCCCTTAATACTAAGGCACCCTTTATGGGTTGTAGTGGTACAGGTTTTTTTTTCTTTTTCTTTATTACTATATTTAATAAGTTCTTTCAACTTACTTATATAATCAAATTTCGACAGGAATGATTGGCTATTTTGTAGTTTACTGACTTTTTCTTCGTATAATTAGAAGATTGAGATTTAAAAAAAAATCCTATTCCTGGGTAGTATTCAGCATCAACGAGTGAATTTTTTATTTTTATTAATTAATGTGTTATCTGTTTCAGAAGAGGTACCACCACTGCCTGCTGAAGTACCGCCTCTTCCCCCACTACCACCTCCAGAGCCGCCGGCACCTCCTCCTCCTCCTCTCCCTCATTCACCACCTCCTCTCCATCCATCACAACCTCTTCCCCCTGGCGTCGACCCAGCAGAACTACCCATAATGCCTCCTGTCACCACAGAGTTTCCAACAATAATTGCTCCTGTGTATACTCCGTATTATCAACCATTTCCTCAGCCTCAACAGAGTCAACCTCTTCCACCACCTCCTCCTCCTGCTGCGGTGAGTTTGCTTATATTATAATTATTAATTAACTCATGAAATCTTTGTGAAAGTAATACACACACGTTATATTTACTTGATTTTCTTAATTATCTTAATGCAACTGGTTAAATGCATGAGTATTATTAATCTAGAAATAAGAAATAAATCAAACAAGTTTAGCTTTATAACCTTTTATATTGTTCTATAATGTAAAGTAATGATAGATTTAAATTTTTTTGTGTTTATTTTGTGATTTTACTGATATCTATTAGTAGCAAGTATGCTTAAATATGAGAAATATATAATTCAATCAATTTAATTTCATCAATCAATTAAATCCAGAATTGATGAACAGCTATTTATGCTAATTTTAGGAATAACCTGATAGATTCCAGTTGAAGGTTCACAGTTCTATAAGATTTATAAAACGCCTAAAAAAAAAAAAATTAAGAATACTTACTTTCTGATTGATTGGATTTAAAAACAGAAATAAGTATAGATAAAAATAGTAATAATATAAATATTTAAAGTAAATTAGTAAACAACTATACCAAGGTCAAAGTAAAATTCATTAAATGGATCCATTGACCGTAAAAGCTGATAAATTGCTGAGCCATAAGATCAATAATTGAACAAAGGAACATGCTGAATTCCATTTATGGTTTCCATCGATGAGTGAAGGAGAACGGGTTAATGGATTTCCAATGTCATTGATGAGCTTACCCAAACTTTAAGTATTCAAATATTATGTGCTTTCATTCTGAATTTGGTTTCATTGTCACAATTATTGATCTGGGCCTTAAAAATAGGCATTGCCTTGGTGTTCTCTATTTTTGAAGCAGTAGCCGTTTGAATCTGGTTTGGTTTTAAAATAATATATATTAAGTTTTTACTATTGATTCATTGTTGGCCTTCGAAATAACATTTTTAAAACTTCTGCATACTTTTTTTTATTTCAATTGATTCAAAAACGAAAAAAAGAGAAAAACTACAGACTACAAAATATATGGTGGGAACTGAGGGCATGGTCTGTGTACTCCATGGTATCATGTATACTGCTACCAAACACAGTGAAAGCAAACATCTCTTAGCCCCACCTTTATAAAGAGGCATTTATACAGTAGCTTATAAAATGTTTTTAATATTTCTATTAGGGATGACAGAGTGAGAGAATATTTTTTTGGATTAAAGTTTTAGCGCTGGAAATACTATTCTAAGCGAAAAAGTATCAGATAGCCAAAGTTCTGTGCTAGGTGCTGGCATGGCATGACATAGCCAAATCTCCATTCTCGTGACATAGTTCAGTCCTCACCACTTTTCTTTAACACTAATTATCTTTGCAAATATGCAACAGATAATTTGTGTATGATGTGTTTATATTGTTATATTCTAATCTTCACTGATAAACTAAAATTGAAAATTCATTCAAGTATTCCACTGATTTAATTTAATATATATTTCAATTCTATTATGGAGAAGAATGATAGTTAAGTAATGCATAGGCATTGACGACCTCGAAGTTTTACGTCTTAGAATTCCAACTAACAAAAAGTGATCTAATGAGAGAGTTCTCCCACAGTAATAGAATAGAAAAATCATCTTTATTCTGGGACTAGGTCCCTTTAAAATAACAGTGTTGTTCATATAAATTAACCATAAATCTGGCCTAAAGACTTATTACAATGAATAATAACAAAATACTGGTAATAAATTAAGTATTAATTAAGCTCTTAGGATCAATTGACAAGATCAGTTGGGTAATAGGGGTTCAGTACTACAATATTGGAGCTAAAACAATAGCATAATAATCACTGAATGAAATTAGAAAGAAACGCAAAATCAATTTTATAGACAAAGCATTGTAGTGATGAAATATAAAAATTAAAAAATAATAAAAACTGTTAATATGTAAGGAAAGAAATTTAAAAAAAAATAAATAAATAAAAAAAACATATGTTCTCTAAAATATTTAAGTGATTATGCATAAAGATTAGGAGAAGAAAAAATAAAATAAAGTATACATATATATATATATATATATAATATATATATATATATATATATATATATATATATATATATATATATATATATATATATATATATACACATAGCGTGGAGTATATTGAAGATAATTAGAAAATAAAATACATTTCAACGAAATACAATTTCTTGAATAAAAAAAATATAAATTAAGAAAAACAAATTTTATCTACTCTCAATGCTTAGTGACTGGTGATGAAAATTCATGTTCAGCACAGAATAAAGCAATAAAAAATAAGAGAAAAAAAAAATGTTTAAAGAAAATTAAAGCCTTACTACATAATATGGATTTAACCAGCGTCTGATTGGATTGTGAAGAGGAATTGGAATAAGAGGGGTTTAAATTGGAATAAATGGGTAATACTAATCTTAAGTTTCTTTAAATTAAATTTGTCCTTTTAATTAAATAATTTTTCATTTATTTTAGGTTGATAATGTTCCTCCACCTCCTTCTTCACATGACCTCTCCTCTGAGTTGGATAATTTCTACAGTGACTTGGCGACTTTGGAGCCAGAACAACCACCCCTGCCTCCAGTTGAGCTGCCTCCTCCACCACCACCTACAGTTGTTCCTCCTGTAGATGTCTCAGATAAGGAGAAGAGTAAGAAGAAAAAAAAGGTTCGTATCATTTTTAAGAAATATGAGTTGAAGAAATCTTATTTTTTCATTATTATTTTTTCTGTTTTGAATTAAAATTTTGTTTACTTATTGTCTTTTTATCTGATTTAAAAATTTCTTTGTTTGTTTTGGTTATCTTCAGACCATTTTCAGATAGACTAAATGGTGAAGTAAAGAATATTAGTTTGCTTGACCACCTCTATCATAATCAAATGGTTATAGTAGTGTTGCTTCTTCTGATATATCCTACATGAATATAATTTTCATTAGAAGTGTATTTTATGAAGTTAAATATCATATATGGTCAATTGAAGTATGCAAGGGTAACTTTCATGGTAATCAGATGTAAAAAGTTATAATCTACATTAATACCACTTATGGGTGTTTGGTCCCTTTTACAAAGTACTCTTATAGTGGCTTAATGAGTGATTTTAGAGAAAAAAATTGGAAAACTGTTAATTTTAATTTTTTCTATTATGTCTTCTTACAAAATAAAAAACAATAGTTTTTGAGGTATTGGTGAAAAATCAATAAAAGTCAGCGATTTGACTTTTTTTTTTCTGCAGATAATTAAGGTTACAGAAAAAATGTCTGCCAACAAACCTCATATTTGTTTTTTGTTCAGTGATTCGAAAAACTGAAGTGTACCAACATTTAAGACTAGAACAAAAAAAAAAAAAAAAAAAAAAAAAAAACCTTTACCACTACACCTCATAAAGGGTCTTGGGTTCAGTACTATGTGAGGAAGTATTGTTAAAAGGCCAACGGTTGTGCAGGAAGGTGATTGGGCCAACTATAAAAAAAAAGAAAGAAAAAGAGACGAAAAGACTATTTTTTCCTGAATTGCCCAGATTACTAATGGAAGTAGACACAAATGTACATATAATAGAACTTTTTGAATGAATACTCACTAAATTAAATACAGAATTTAGTGAGATATCAGCAGAAAAGTTGAACCATTTAAAAACTGAATTAAATAAAAATTTAAATAATGCAAAAATAAGAATTAAAAGAAAATTCTTTTAAGAATTGAAGGGTTTGGTGCAAGAAGAAGGCAGCTTCACTTTTTCTAGTATATAGTAAATTTAATTATTTTTTTTTTTTTTTCAAAAATTCAGTTTTCACCGAAACCAACAAATATTCAGTCTTCAGGTTTGTGAAATGGAATTTTGAATTTTGGAGTTGCCTCGTTTTGCTCCAAAGTGAATGAAAAACCACTTGTAGGACCATTTTCTATAGAATTAACCATATTTCAGTTTACAAAATATTTATTAACAAAGAAAGTACAACATCATTGGCATACTGTACATCAATATGTACAGTTCTTCTTCAGTCTTCTATTCTCCTCAGGATCGTTTGAAGCATCTGACGTCAACTGGTTCTAAAACCACATTTCGTTTTGTCCAACATACTTTATGGCCAGCTCATTGACATATTTAAACTTTTGATCTTTAAGCGGGTGGAGACAATCATAAGTTTGATAAAGGTGGTCCAGTGTTATGAGACCTGCAACTCCTTCGTTGTGCATTATCGAAGACAGTCATCCCTACGGTTCCACTGCATTGAATAATCCCTTTACAGATATATGACTGTTCATAGAGGAATAGTTTGTACTTAGTGATTAAATATTTATCGTTTAGAAGAAGAACGAGACTGCTCCATCTGATGGAGTGATTAAATATTTATCATTTGGAGGAAGAACGATGCTGCTCCATCTGCTGGATCTAGTGGCTGGAGCTGCTTCATTCTTGTACCAAACAAAGTGGCTTTTTCTTTTGTATGTGATAGGATGTGCAACTCAATAGAGGCACAAAGTGGAGCTGCCTCCTTGCACCAAACCCCTCAATTATGAATGTAAGCGCTAACATATATTATAGATGCCAAAATAATGTGTTAAGCTTTTTCTTCATCAATGATCATCCATCACCTAAGCACTGACATCATATATGAATAATTTAATCATATTTCTTTCACATAAATTCTCTTAATGTTATTAAGGTTATGAGAATCAAAGAATAGAAAGAGATTTTACTTTTTCATGAATTCAGTTCCTTTAGCATAGTTGTAATGTCTTGAATTTCAATTGGGTTTTACTTTGATAAATCCGACAAACAAAAAACTGTAAAATTAATGTATTTTTTACTATGAAAACATAATTTCTTATTTGTTCTCTTTACCGATTATCTATTTTTAGATGTATGCTATTTATTATAATTAATCACATTGCTTTATTTTGTAGACAAAACTAGCTCCAGGTCTCTCGCTCAAAAAGAAGGGCGTCTCCTCCTTGGTAGCCAAGTGGCAACAGGTTCAAGAAGATGTTCGAAGGGATATGAAACATGACTGAAATTTATTTATAGTTTTGTACATAATTATTTATTAATAAATGTAATTACCTGTACATATTGTGAAATAAGTCTATGGATAATAGTAACCAACAGTTATAGACTGACAATAAATTTCATTAATTAATTGATTATCAAAATAAAATTGAAGTATGATTATAATTTGTTTGCATTGCTGCTATGACTTTTCAGATCATCGAAAATGTATTTTGTTCATTATTATATTTTATTTTTATGAACAGCCCATTAATTGAAGTGTGGTATTTTATTATAAATTTGTATATATAGCAATTAAATTTCTTTTAGATTTTTATTTTTGTTTTTGTTTTATTTATATATTTGTTTATATTTAACATCCTTTTTACCTAAATTGGAAATCTTCGGCATTATTTAGAATTATTTTTTATTTATCTCGAATTCGATTAATAATTAATTTCAAATAGTACCTTATGACTGTATGAAAATATTTTGTTATTGTTTGAATGTCCAACTTGTGGCTGTTTCACACAAACCAAGCAGGCTGTTGAAATATTGAAATTTTAATATTTAGCTATTTCTTCCTCAACTCAGGAGCTGTTTGCTAATGTGAAGGCCACTGTTGTTTTATTCAGTATACCCATTTCTTTCTTTTAAAGAAGATTGAGATAATAGAAAATTAACTAATGCATGTAAAATTTAACACTTGTTATAGTTTCCTTATTGATTTAACTAAATTCAAGTATTATTTTTAATAAAGCCAAAAATATATGGCACATTGTAAAAACTTGTTTAAATTAAGTAAGAATTGTATGTAAAATTTAATATTGTAGTTTTATTCAGTTAAATTAAATTTAAAATGTCATCTAAACAATCTTTCTTACTGAAAAACATTTATATGCTAGTTATTCCATTTTTCAACTCAATTATGAAAATTGGTCCCTCAGAAAAAAAAAATTACTGAATTCCTGTTTAATGAAAGTTAAATAAAAAGATAAATGGTAACCTATAACAGGTTATTTTTCAATAACTGCTATCCTGCCATCTTTAGTCACCAGCCAAGGTCAGAAGAATGTACTTATATTTTAAATTTTTAAGACCTTGGTAATGAGCCATCTAAATGGCCCCTGAAACCTTTTGGGTGAGCTAGCCAAGGTCAGCTTTAGAGGGACATTTCTAAACAATATTATCAACAATTAAGGTATAGTTAAGATTGAAAAATATAACATCACATAAATGTAGATTGTAGATAGCACATCTTCCATCCACTGAAAACGAAAAACATAGTAAGGTACATCATTTCAATTCTATGGAGCACATGCGGATCTACAGGGAGGGGGAGACTTTCGTGATAATGCCTCTCCCTCCCTCTTCCCTCCCAAAAATGGTAAAATATAACCATGATTTATGAAAAAAATATTTCTAAAAGTATTATTGTTCGTGTAATTACATTTAATTAGACTTCAAGAATTACTTTCATATAGGTAGTTAGTTTTAGTGTTCTTCCAAAGGAATTAGCGTTATACATATTTAAAAAAAAATTTAGGCTGAAATCTCCCCCAAGATTAAATCCTGGATCTGTTAGTGCAATGGAGCATATTGATGGTTTGTTTATCATCAGTGTTGCCGTTCATATGAAAACTCTTATTTGTAGGAAGCTTTAACAAGAAGATGGATCAACTCTCTTAAGTACCCTGAGAGCAGTGCAGCCTTAGACGTTCGACGTACTCGGCAATGACTTCATCTTCCCTTAAAAAAAAAAAATTATATTTTAAGCCGTTTTATATTATTCATTATTTGAATTTTATTTCATTCAATATTTCTCTAATACAGTTGCTTTATTAATAAGCTAAAATTATTTTAATTAATTTTGTATTAATTTCTAATTAGTGGCGAACAAACGCCCATGTTAATCTGCGCCCCTACAGATCGGTACCCCTGGGCATTACCCTGGTTGCCCTGCCCTAAGGCTACCATTGTCTGAAACCCATGAATAACAAGTATCCTGGCCTTCCAGGAATGCACAGCATTTTAAGACTTAAAAAAATGCTTCATGGTGCTTGAACGACACATTTTGTCTGGTTGCTTAGTCATTTAGGTGTTAAAGGAAATGAAATATAAAGCTTTCTTGACAGTGTCTGAACTTGTATGACCCCTAAGAGAAATGATATTCCAAGAATGGCAGAGACAATGGTGCAGCAGCATATCCACTAAACTGAAAACAATAATGAAAGAAGTAGTGCAATTAGGGATCTGCTCCAAACAGCAGTGGCAGAGAAATCCTCACGAGGCTAAGGCTCACTCATACCAGACTGACACCTCCACCTTATAACAAAATATTCCATTTCCAGATGCCTAAAATGTGACGAGATATTAACTATAAAACACATTTTAGAGGAGTGTCCGTTTTACATCACGAGGTTAACAGAATTTGGAATACCCCTGCATTTGTCCGAATCTATAGGATACCAGGAGAAAAATGGTAACTAAAGTTATGAATTTTCTGTATAAAATATATTTAAAAATCCACAACTAATGATCCTCTGCCGATTTTTTTTTTTTATATATACTATTTTTTTTTTTTTTTTTGTTGATGATATTTACAACTGTATTAAAAGTAAAAATACATTCAATAAATGTGATCAAAAGAATATAATAACATGAAATCACTTGTTGAGAAACTACCCACTGCTAGTACTCTAAAAATGTATTTACAAAAGGACATCTCGAAGCCATCTTCCTTTCAGATGCCTCGGAGGGTTGTCAGAGATTGAAGAGGAAGCAAGGTTAGAAACTAGAGGGTTTGGATGGTTCTGAAGTTTGTTATGGAAGGATAGGTATCTGGATTGGGCCAGGTCAGAAACATAAGGAACATTAAGGTCGTTATGGATGATTTTGTGCCATTTTTAATTATATATTTAGTCTATTTATTTCGTTTAATTATTTCTTTTTTTTCCTGTTTTAACCTACCACTAAAGTACTTTTATTATTTTTTTATTTAGTTACAGTTAAAGGTGCCATGTACAACAGCAAAGGTTAGAGGCACCGTTTTCCTGTTACATAATTTAAATCATTTTATACAGTTTGCTGTCTTTCAAAAATTGCAGCAAGTTCTTCTGCTTTTCCTGTTCCAAGGCTTGACAGTAATCTTAGCGAAATTCTTGAAGAACACAAGCTCTGACAATTTTCCATGGTTTTCGATGGTCAAGAGTGTGTTGCAGCTGCTACATTTAGGATAAGGGTTCCCTTCAAGTAGGTGCCTACGGGTCAGCTTAGTATGTCCTATTCTGAGTCTGCAAATTATACTGAGGCAGTGGTTCTGTATCTTCATAAATGTTCTTCATTTTTTTGGTCTTTGGAACCTTGGACCAAAAATAGCACCATGTTTCTTTGCAATGATTCAGCACGGCTGCATTGAAGTGGGACAGCACCGTGTTAAGTTTAGGTTCTGGAAGTATGGTGCAGGGTTCTTTGGCACATGTGTCAGCCAGTTTAGTTCCAGTTATACCAACATGACTAGGGACCCATAGAAATTTTATTAATTTGTTTCTTTTCTGAATGAGTTGTGTTATGGAAAATGCAATGGGGTTATTGGAGAGTTGAAAATTTTGTATTTCTTTGAGGGCCGAATATGAGTCTCTGCAAATTAGAATGTGAGTGCTTTTTAATTTATTAATAAGAATTACGAATAGATAAATGGCATACAACTCAGATGAGAAGACGGAATAAATGGAAGGAAGACTGAAGTGGATGGTTTCGGTGGGAAGCACAACTGAACAGCCCATACGATCTAGATGTTTTGATCCATATATACAGGTAAATACAGATAAATTCTTTGTTTTTGATAAGAACAGTTGAACAATTTTGTTTTATAACCTCGAGAGGATTAATAGATTTGCAGTAGATTTGAGCGAGAAATCAATACTAGGTGTGTTATTCATCCAAGGGGGTAATGGGTGAGATGAAGGTGTGTAATACTTGGGTTGTGAATATGAGTCAGAAAGTGGTGGGAAGCTGGTGAGGCGATTGGGTAGTTGGTAGCGTGAAAAGTCAAAGAAGTCAGGAGTGGTTTTTAGGAGGCCTAGAAATTTAAGCAAAAGAAACTTAAAGTACTTTTAAAATAGTATTATTTTGTTGATCGGATGCTAATGACCACGATTTTTTGTGCATAAACATCAAAACAACCAAGCACTCAACTTTGTACCTTCTACCTCCTACAAAATTTTTGCTTAGGTGTTAAAGGTATATTTTTATAAATAAATTTTAAATTTATTTTACAATTATTTTAATTGTTATTATTTATAATAATGTATTATACTTATCATTGTGGGTTGATGGTTGACTGTAGTGAATAATCAAAGAGAAGGATGGTTGGGGTGATCAGTCAAAATAAAAAATAGCAAAAATAAATAATAATTTATTTAATAATATTTATTAAATAATTAATTTTTAAAATATATATCATTATTTATTTTTGCTCTTTTTTTTATTTTGACTGATCACCCCAAGCGTCCTTCTCTTCTATTATACTTATCTTTTATTACTTTCTTGACGAATAAATTGAGATGATATCTACTTTGATTAAAGCATGATCAATATTTCCTTCATAAAACTATAATTTTAACATAATTAATTTAAACAGTTCTAAGTAAATAAAATAAAAATTAAAACTTTTTACAAATTGTTTGGATGTTTATTTATTTATATTTATTTCAGTTAAATGTTATCTAGTTAAAAACTTCTCTGAAGTCATAATGATGTTTTATTTTCTTTAGATTCTTTATAATTATAGGAATTTTAAATCCTTTAAAAAGTTTATTATGCTTTTTATAAACATTAAAAAAGCATGATAAATGTATATTTCGTATAAATGTATGTATGTTTCGTCAAAGTTATTTTGTAATTTGAATTAAACTAATTTTATTTCTTGACTTATAACTTAAAAAAAAATGTTTTGAAATCTATGAATAAATAAAGCTCTGATCTAATTATATTTAAAAAAGCATAACATTGAGCATATATTAGTACTAATTTTCAAAGAGTAAGAGTACGAGGATTAGATATGTGAGACTATTCACATATTGTGGGGCGAACAAATGTTTAAATAGTTATTTCACTGTGCTAATATTTTTGTTTCTTGTTTTTAACATTTTCCATCTGTTGTTGGATATCAAGAGAAATCAAATAAATAGTTTGATTTAGCAATAATGTCGCTGTTAGGTAAGTGTGTGTCAGATAATTGTGTTTCCCGTAGTTTATGATATGTCTAAATGCACCTAAAGATATGGGGATTTGTCTGTGATGAGGTGCAACAAACACTGTTTTACATAACATTCT